CCGCCCTGAGTCCTTCCCGGAGAAGGGCGGCATACAAATAATAAAATTCAATTCAATTCAATTCAATTCAATTTCTGACTGAAAGGCATTTAATTTTTCGTTCTGCAACATAGTATCTATAGAGCATTGGGTAGCTAGGCTCGATGCTGCTGCTGCTGATGTATTTTTCCTCCCTGTTTTGTTTAAATTTGTATTGCTTGTCATTTTAATAGTTTTAAGTAATCAGATGTTGTTTAACAGAGACAGCTAATCAATAATCAAACAATCAACAACAGATCAAACACAACAGTACTCCACAGTACCCAACTTTTAAAATATACCTGATGCAGTGACGTGCGGTGAGGTTAATGGCTGGTGAGACAAGTGGGCAAAAGCTGCCCTGCTGCCCAAGCGCTATGTCCGACATAGAGGCGGATGCCTCTATGTCGGACATAGCGGCAGGGCGGCTTTTGCCTCTATTGCCGGGGTGGCAGGGCGGCTTTTGCCCGCTTTCAAGAAAGCTTTCCCTGGAAGCTTTGCGGGGAAACCCTGCAGGCCCCGGGAAGGGACGGAGCAGGGTCGGGGCGGCCTGGGGAGCCCCTGCGTGGGTCACAAGAGGCGTGGACGGGATGCGGGAATGCGGAGGGGACCGCGGAGCTGGAGGAAGAGGAGGAGGAGTGGGGAAGAAGAAGAGGAAGACTCTGGAGTTGGCTCGCCTGTCCGTCCGTCGGGTGGCTCAAGCACTGTGCTCCGTCTGCCCGGCCACTGCTGCTTGCCTGCCTGACTGCGATTGCGGAGCCCCGTTGGGCAGGGATGGCGCTGACCCAGAGCTGGATCGTGGGCAGGCGGCGCAAAGCAGGGGAAGTGACAGGCGGCGGGAGTGGGAGGCAGCCAGCCAGCCAGGTAGGGCCGATGCTCCGGAGCGCCCCCTCCACGCTGCCTGCCTGCTTCGACTGCCGGGGAGCGCCCTTGCCTTCTTGCCTTGCTGCTTCCCTCTGCATCAAGGCGCACCGCCGGCAAAGAGTCTCCCCGGGGGGATCCTGCTCAGCTCCCCAGAGCCCAGCCGGGGGTTGATGATATCTGTGGGGCTAGGATGGGAAAGATGCACGCTCCCCCCACCTCCAAGTCCTTGCCAGTCTGCCAGCGCGCAAACCTCTTTTACAACCTCGCTATGTAGGACAAGCAGGGTGCCACGATCCTCCCTCCCACCCTTGGCGATCAGTCTTCCAAGCGGTGCAGCGGGGCTTTGGTGGGGCTTTCGGAAAGCCGTGCCGGGGCTCCGAAGCCCACCCACCCACCGCCCGACCTACTCCCCGCCTGGCCGGCCGGCCGGCACAGGGCCTCACCGCTCTTCTCCTCCTCACCGCTCAAGCGGTGGCGGGTTCCGTGGGACAACGGGGTCTCATTCCTCCCCCGGCGCGGCGAGCTCCAGCGGGCTGGACACGGGTGTGAGGGGCCTGGCAAAAGAAAGAAAGCGCCAGCCCACCAGCAGAGGCAGGGAAAAGACCCACCTCTGCTGGCAGGCTGCCCCTCTCTTCTCAAACAAGCTGCCTTCCCTGCCTCTCCCCCTTTCCTCTCTTCTCAAACAAACTCTCTCTCAAATTGAGAGTTTGTTTGAGTGAAGTAAAGAAACACACACGCACACAAATTACTTACAATAAAAAATTACTTACAAATTACAATAATTTTGAATTCCTCCCCCCTCCCTCTGACCCACATACCTTTTCCAGCTGTTTCACAGAGGATTTCAACTCTGCTCTTGTCTGCCATGATGAAAATGTAAAAATGTAAAAAGAAAAAGGCAAGAGCTGCTAAAGCCAGGCTGGGTTAGCTGCTGCCAGAGTCCCCAATCGATGACTCTGCTTAACTGTTTAAAAAAAAGCCTCTAAAAAAAGTGCCCTCTGCAGGAGGAGGCGAAAGAACCACATGCCTCCTCTACATAAGGAATTTTTCGCCTTTTAACCCTTGCTTAACTCTGCTCAAGTGATCATAAAGATAGACTAAAGGAGGTACGTGGTTCTCTCACCTCCTCCTGCAGAGGGCACTTTTTTAAGAGGCTTTTTTAAACAGTTAAGCACTAAGCAGAGTCATCCACTATGACTCTGGCAGCAACTACCTCAGCCTTTTTCCTTTTAATTTTCTTTTCCTTTTCATCATGACAGTGGTGAGGCCCTGGCTCCCCTGCCTCCCCTGACTGCACGTCCCTGACCTGATGCAGTCCAACTATTTCCTTTCTTGTTCCCAGTTCTTGTTTTCAAGCCTCAAGCCACTTCCCTTTTTGGGGTGTTGTGTTTCACAAAGCCAAAAAGTCTATAGTCCATAGTTCTCTTCAAAAAAGGTTGTTTCCTTTTTTCTTTTTAATAACTTGTAAATTGTAATCCACAAAGGCCCACCCACCAAACCCCAAAATTATATCCAAGCGTACCATGGACAAGGCGAAGGAATTTTATAGTCAATATATCAGCAATGAAGAAGAAATGGAAGAAAGGGAAGATCTGGAAGGAAGAGGCTCGAGACTAGTGGATAAAGAAAAGAGTGCATCACAAACCAAAGAGAGAGGGGAAGGTAAGGAAGAAATGATGGAGAACTATGAGAGAGGACAACAGGAAACAAAAGAAATTAGAACAACAAGAAGCACAAAACCAAGGTACTGATAAGGAAATGCAAGAGGCGATAAAAAATTTATCACTCAACATCAATGGATTAAATTTGCCTATTAAAAGAAAGAAAACATTCAATAGATTAAAGAAGTTGAATTTAGATATTATAGCATTAGAAGAAGTTCACATAAAAGAAAAACAAAAGCCGCTGCTAGAATATCCCAAACTAGGGATCGCATACACCTCATTAGCACAATAAAAAAGAGGGGTAGTTTTATACATCCAAAAGGCGATCCCGGTCAAACAAATCTACAAGGATGATGAAGGATGGATTTTGATAGTAGAGATAGAAATAAATCAGAAGAAAATTCTATTAGCTGAGATCTACGCACCAAATGGAGCACAAGAGCAATTTTATAGGAAATTACACAATGCTATCTGTGACATACCTCATGATAACATCTGCATCCTGGGAGATTATAACGCAATAATTGACAAAAAAAATAGATTATAAAAGCAACCAAAAGAAAAAAAAAAGAAGAACATTACCTAAATCCTTCATCAAAATGGCAGAGGAGCTGAAAATAAAAGATGTTTGGAGAGAGAGAAACCAGGATAAAAACCAATATACATACTACTCGAATAGACACAAATCATGGTCCAGAATTGACATGGTCTGGACCTCAATAGAATTGCAATCAGAGGTGAAGGAAGTTGAAATTGGCACGAATCTCTGGGCAGATCACAATTCCATAGAAATAAGTTTGATAGGGAAAAAGAGGATGACAAGATGGACACTGAAAAGATTGATTATAAAAGATGAGGAATTCAAATTGATGATGAGCAATCAATTGCATCTCTTCTTCCAAGAAAACAAAAAAGAAGACACATCTGTTCAAAATTTATGGGATACGGCAAAGGCATATATGAGGGGAGTTGCTATATGGCAAAAGAAAACAAATTAAAAAAACCAAAGAAAGAACGACTTGGAAAAAGAATACAAGAGAATGGAGGAGGACCTACAAGATAAGCCGCAGGAAGGAAATATAAAACAACAAATGGATTTAATTAGACATAAATTGAATATATTAGAAAAGAAAGAATTGGCACTACAGACAAAAAAGACAAACCAAAATACTTTTGAGAATGCTAACAAGCCAGGGAGATGGCTTGCATACAAACTGAAAAGACAAACAGATGAAAAATGGATCAACAAACTACAAGATGAGAAGGGGAATATATGTTACCAAAATGAGAAGAAAAAGATAGCTCAGAAGTTTTATGAGAAACTATATAAAGAAATTGATTGTGAGGAAGAAGAGGAAATAATACAATGTCTTGAGAAGGCGGAACTGCCAAAAATCCTGGAAGAAATAAAAAATATGCTAAATGAAGAAATAAGGATGAAGGAACTAATGGACGCGATCCAAAAACAAAAAAAATAATAAGACACCAGGTCCTGATGGACTACCGACAGAAATATATAAAGAACTGCAAGACAGTCTAGGAGAAATCCTACTTGAAGTATAAAATGCAGTGTTGGAAAAAGCGAAGATACAACAATCATGGGTGGAGGCAAATATTGTCCTGATATCAAAAGAAAACTCAGACAAGATGCTAATTAAGAATTATAGGCCCATATCCTTGTTAAATACAGACTACAAGATATTCACTTCAATAATAGCAGAACGTCTAAGAAGATTCCTAGACAAGTTTATACACACGGACCAAAATGGTTTCCTACCTAAACGACAAATGAAAAATAATATAAGAATAATTCTAGATATCTTAGAATACTACAAGAAACATAGTGGAACGCAGGTGGCATTGTTATTTCTAGATGCGCAAAAAGCTTTCGACATTAATTGGGAATTCATGTTACAACATTTGAAATATATGGAATTTGGCGATAAATTTTTAAACATGCTCCGGGCGATATACTCCAACCAAGAAGCTAAAGTAATAGTGAACAGAGAGGTGACCAAAAAGTTTAAAATTCAGAAAGGCACAAGGCAAGGGTGTCCTTTATCTCCTTTGTTATTCATATTATCTTTAGAAGTGCTAACAAGGGCGATTCGGAAAGAAACTCAAATTAAAGGTATAGAAATTAGGAAAGAAATTAGGAAAGAAGTTTATAAACTGCAAGAATTTGCAGACAATTTAGCTATTATCCTTGAAGAACCACTAGAATTGGGTAAGAGGCTGATGGAGGTATTAGAGGACTATGGGAAGGTAGCCGGATTGAAAATCAATAAAGATAA